ATATGCAATATGCTTTATTGTTCACAAAAATGTTTACATACAGTTTTGATTACTATGAAACAAATCCGCATAGAACTCTTAAATTAATACTTACTTTCACTCATTTACTTAAAATTTTTTCTCCCATACTTTCAGTTCTGAAACCAGGAGGTGTCTTATATTCAGTGGCGTTTGGCAGTTGTCATCTACTAGGAATGAATGTGACCAGGTGTCATTCAAACTTGGTCCCAGTTCTTCGTGTTGTCATTTCAAATGAATTACCTATATGGTCGACACTATATGTATTGATTGCTGTTTAGTATGTCCTAAAAATTATAATATGATTTGACTTTGAAACAAAAAGTTACCAGGTACACAGAGAAGCAAAGAAAGAGTGGAATGAATTGTGATATTTGGGAACCAAAGAGCCATCACAGCAGGTCCCTATGTCTTGCAATATAGCCACTAAATATTTTACCCAATGAAGGAAGGTATAAACATGTAGAGAAGGCCTAGTTTCATTTTGTTGCTGAAATAGATACAAAAGAATGACCTATCACACATCACTCAAGGTACCCAAAGTCAGAAGAAACTGCCCAAACTCTCAGAATATGTAAAAGACATTTGGAAGTAAAACACCACTGATTAGACTATTATTAAGACATGGCATCATAATTTCATTTGTAGGATTTTTTTCTCTCTTGCTGTTCTGTAAGAAATAACGTGCCATCAAGTACCTATTCAATTAAAGGTTCTCTACTGGATGTTTGTACTTGACATTTAAGCCTCGCACCAATTCTTCTCCATCAACGTCATTATCCTCAACCTAGAGATGAGAGATGAGTCATTTACTCGGTTGGTCATTTAGTTTTGGTAGAACTAGGACTTGAATCTTCATGTGCCCATTACCAGAGCCTGTGACACCTTCTCTAGCCTTCACTGCCTTGGTAGAAGTCACCCTGATTTCTCAACTCCTCTGTCCTTCAGAAGCAACTTTGGGGAGGAATGGTCCCAAGATGCCTATAAACTGGAGCTATTCAGGATCAAGATGAAATTTTGGGTTTTTCTTAGTTGTTCATCTAAAAACTTAGATTTTGGGACTGGAAATCCTGGCTTGGGCTTTTAAGCCTCAGATTTAAAATCTTGCCTAGGGTCGTTTTGGTTTTGACTTCTCTGCAGTGTACCACGAATACCCCTCACATGTTCTCTTAAATCATCTTGCAATGGTTTCCTAAAGGCAATATGTAAATGTAAATTTACCTTTAAATTTAAACATAGATCTCTCAAAGGTAGTTTTTCAACTGGGTACTCTTCATTTATGCCTGAGAATAAAGTTACAATAATAGATCCAAAAGTGCCTACAGAAAATAGGTGAATTGGAGATAACCCAATAAATGTCTCTAAATATCACCAGCCAAGGATTTTTCAGAAAACTCATGTTAGAAAAGTATTGAACACTTATTTTTACCGAACTCCAGGTTCTCAAGAAATAACCAGATGAGAGTCTCACATATAAACATTTGTTTCCACAGCTATCTGAGAGGGAAAAAAAGAACCAAAATAAAATGAAAATGAAAACCACTTGAATTTCTAACCATGATTATAATTGTATTCATCCCAACATTTTTAAAGGTTTAAACATGTTTTAAAAAGTGGTTTCTTCTTAGATCAGGATCAGGAACTGCGGCCCTCTTGGGAAAGGCCAGTCTGTGGTAAGCTAGCTGGCAACAGGGGTGGAATTGCCAGAAATATCAGTGGGAAACCAACCAGTCTGGGATTCTTGTCTGATTCTAAACCCAGGAGAATTTGCTTGCATTTGGAATTGCTACTACCTCGTGGAATGAAAGCAGGAAGATCATTATTCACACTTCATACATTTCTTTCTTTCTAGATTTGGTTTAAAGGCTCTGCGATTTGCATTCTAAACTAGAGGTATCCGGTTAATTAAATCACAAGGTCTTTGTAACAAGTAACAAAGATAATTCATTTCTTCCAAATTGAGCTAGTAGGGCCATTCTCTTCTTTCCTAGGACAAGCATTCAGTGAAAACAGAATCGGTATGCAACCAGGTTGAGTGTTATTGTAATTTTCTCTGCTATAAAATGTTTGAGCACATTGTTAGGTTTAAATTATTAATAACTAATGCAGTGTTATTTGATATTCTATTGGTCTGTTACCAGTTTTTTCTAATTAACAGTGAGGTTTACTCAAGAGATTCTTAAGAATGGGCTGTTAGATTTCAAAATAATATTTAGAGACTCATTTACAACTATATCTTCTTGCCTTTTCCTGCCTGACTTCATCACTGGAGATGTCTCTCCAGTCCATGATGAATCACCAATCTATACTCTAAATGTATACACTAAAATTGATTTTACAATTGGGCTCACCTCTTAAACTGTTGTTTTGGAATTTTCTCTCAGTAAAATGCTACCATCATACATCAAGTTTCCCAAGAAAGCACCCAAGGATCATCAGAGACACTTTCCTTCCCATTCCTGTACCTAGGCTCCATCCTTCCACCAGTGTCCAGTCCGTTTTACTATTTCAATATTTTTCCTGCCTTTCCATTCCCCTCTATCTCCTCTGCTACTAGAGCTCACCACTTCCAAGAACCTCCTAAATGATCTCCCTGATATAATTTTTTATATCCCTACAATCCAGTCTCTATACCACTATCAAAATTATTTCTCTAAATGCAAGTCTTAAAACCTTTTAATGGTGTTTTATCATTTTAAGATTCCTTAGCATAGAACCCAGCCCTTTATGCTATGGCCCCGTAAGCCTCTCTGGCATCATCCCGCACCATTCCTCAACGGTCTCTTTATGTTCCAATCTTACATAAGGACTTGCTGTTTTGCAAATGGACCAAGTTTTGTTCACTTTCCCTCCTGTGCTTTTGCAGCATGGTCCTCTCAACTGACCATTTTCTCCTCATCTGCCCATGACCTTCTCACTTAGTTCTTTAGGACACGACCGTTCTCTAACAGCTCTGAGAAAGAGTGAAGGTGCCCATGTGTTGAGTTCAAAGTCAATTACAGGGTTTCCTCCTCCTGCATTTCCACAGGCCCCAGGGCAAACCTCTATCAAGGCATTTGCCTCTTAGCATTTCAATTTTTGTTGTCTACGATGGTCTCCTCCACTACCCTATAAACTCTTTGAGGGGAGGAGCTGGGTATTTTTGTATCTCCAGGACAAACATGGTACCTGTTGCTTGCTAGCTGTTCCGTAAATTGATGTGGCATGAATTTTAATCCTTTTCCATCACTTCTAGAAACTGTGCTCAAGCAAAGTTATTTTTCTTCTTTCTTTCTGTATGTTAGACTCTTCCCCCTTAAGTCCAATACATCTTTAAAACAAACAACAAACCACTTTTCTGTATCTTAGCTCTAACTTTTTGAAAATATTATCCAATTATTGCTTTAAACTCCTAACCTCCTACTGATTCTTCAACCCACTGGAATTTGACTTTTACTTCAACACTCTGATGAAATTGTTCCTACCAATGATACAAATTGCTTCCTAACTACAAAAGTCATTCTTTGTCTTAAGTGATTACTCTAGGATTTTACGTTGTTAATCTCTCCCTTCTTCCTGAAACCTTATTTTTGGGGTTTGTGACATTGTTTTCCCTGGTTTATAACATCTCTGAACACTGACTGGCCAATCCAGTGGCACATTGTTTAAATGTTGGGTATCCCAAGGAAGCCCTTATTTGTTCTTTTGTTTTATTCTCCCTGAGTAACTTCAGCTAGTTCCACAGATTTAGTAACCATCTATATATCCAGTGAGGCAAAACCTTGACCTTCAGAACTGTTTCCAATTTGTAATACCTTTTGTGATTCACAATACCCTCAAACTTTACATACTAAAATCCAAATGTTTCTCTCCTCAAACTTGGCCTCTTACATATTTCCTATCCTAGGGAGTTGGTAGTAGAGTCAAGGTAGAATTAAGAATATTGACTACTTAGATTTTTTTTCCAGGTTTCTATACTAGACTACATGGTCAATAAATTTTAAAAGAAAAAAGTGACCCTTTATATGTGTACTAAGTTAGTGTTTGTATGAATTATCTATTGCTATGGAACAAATTTTCACACACTTAATAGCTTTAAACAGCATGTATTTATTATCTCAAGATTACTCTAGGTCAGACATTTAAGCACAACTTAGCTGGGTTCTCTGTCCAGGTTTTGCAAAGCTGTGTTGGCTGGGGCTGGGATCCTCTTCCAAGCTTACTGGTTCTTTGCAAAATTCATTCCCTTGAAGCTGTAGAACTTGTGGCAGCTTGCTTATTCAAGGCCAGTGGAAGAGAGAGTCTCTGACTTGTTCACTCTTTTTAAAAAGTCCCATCTGATGGGGTCAGGCCCACCCAGTGTCATATCCTTTTGACTTGTTCAAAGTCATCTGATTAAGAACCAGAAATCTCTTCACCTTTGCCATGTAATGTAACATAATCATGGGGGAGACTGTTCTATTCTTTCTTCCATAGTTTATTAGTTAGAAGCAAGTTACAATTTCCACCACATTCAAGGGGAGGGTCAGAGTGTAGACCATTGGGAATCATTCTATAATTCTGCCTGCCACAGCTTAATTTTTAAAAAAGTATGAGTGAAGGGAAAACCATTGAATGTAATTTTGAGATATTAAAAGATTGAATGTAAAGAAAAAAGGTATAGAACTTTAACATCTCAAATTTTAATGGAAATGGCCCATATTTTGAAGATGGTGAAAATGGTTTTCTATGCCTATCCTAGCTTATACTTACTGCCTTGGGCAGGGGATATATCCAAGAACCAACATTTTAGATCATATTATATGAATCTAAATGGAATAATCAGATAAATGTCTGAAAGACATTTAATTATGTAACTTTTTTCACTTGAGGGCCATTTTACCATATGTTAGCCTTATTTGCATTAGAAAGAAAAAACACAATTGTATGTCTATAAATAAGTTCTATGTTTTCCCTTAGGGTTGATATTTTGACTTTTCCCAATAGGGCTTTTTTTTTTTTTTCCTTCTAATACTTTTGGCAAACTGTGGTTTTCATCAGAAGTATTTAATCTTTCCTCAGGATAGGTATTTCAGGTATCTTGTAGAGTTGTGTTCTTACAACGTACAATGGCATATCTTCAGAGCCTCCTAGATCCCCAACTCTCCCCTTTCTACCCCATACCATTTGTAGCTCCTTTTCCTGTAGGGTCACGCAGATGTTCTAGAGTTAATGCAGGCGCCATTAGAATATGAAATGCGTAAGAATCCCACCACTTTTAGGTCCTGCTTCTTAGGGAAAACAATTCCACTGGTACTTAGAAAAACACAGTGTGACTTGGTGAATTTATCTCTTTTTCTTAACATTGGCAATGATAGCGCAATGCCCATTGTATGTAATCAGTGAGTGTGAGGTCGGCTTGCAAATCCCTACAGATATGTGGTTACTTCTCTACTTTCCCTCTCTTTTGCTTGGGCAACTGCCACATTGATGCACTGGAGCCACTCTTCTGCATTCTTCTCATCCTTGGCCTTGAAAACATAGGTTTTATTGCCTGTGAAGATTTCAAAAGCTCGAGGGAGGGAGCGGTCCCTGCGTTTCCTGGCCACAACTTTCACACTCTGTACTTTGCTGAGTTCTATTGGGGAGTCATCAGGATCATCTTTCTGAAATGCATATGGGAAGGAGAGAACATGAGCTGGCTTCCAGAGTATGAAAAGATCTCTGGCAACTGGAGAATTTTCTAAGATCAGAATCCTTTCACTGCAAATGGTTCATAGCCTTTGTTATTTTGAATGCTAAGGCCTCAGTGAGTCATTCATTAGAACAATGGAGGGAGTGAGCAATTGGTCCTACGTTACAGTATATTAAGTTGGCACAAGATGGCCAATTTATAAGAAATTATTATTCAGTGGGATTTGGGAAAATGTTTAATTCATACTTCTTTGATTTTATGTCATGTTTGATTGGTATCAACACTATCAATAGAGCAAAATGCAATAGTACAATTGGAGTACTATTAACTCAGAATCTGAAATAATTTGGGAAGTATGAAATTGAATTTTCCTTTGTGTTATTTCTGAGAAAGGTGTATTAATTGAATAAACAGGGTCCTAATGTTTAAGCAGATCAAACTGTTTTGAGACACACTGGAGTTCTGGAGGATTCAGACAAATCTGAATGATTTGTCTGCAAACATTAAGTGAAAGAATACTTAATGATTTACATTTTTCTGGCATCAAAACAGAGGCTTACAGATCACAACTACAACGTGAGGGTCATCCCAATGGGCTAGTATGAGTAGTTTCAAAAGATCAAATACTTCTTTACAGAAATGTCTTTAACATCCCTGAATATATTTGTCTCCTGGAAGACGTGCCTGTGCTTGAGGATCTGGCCAACTCTCCTTTCCCATGCCCCCTGTACAACCCACTCTCCTTTCATTCTGCAATGGAAAGGCAACCTTCTCACTCATCCCAAAGTTACCATGGTGTATCGTCCAACTTGGAAAAATCTCTGGAGGATCAAAGAACTGGAAAGATCAACTCAAAATATTGATGCTAAGGAAGTGTCCTTCAAACAAAGCAACACAATCACTCCCCAACTACTATATCAAGAGGTGCATTTCCAATAGCATTTCCCTTTTTAATGTTTAGTAACTATTTATTGCATTTGGTGTTATACTTATGACTATAAATTAAAATTATAATTAATTTTAAGATAATAATAATGAAAAATCTTAACATTTAGAGATTGATAGTCACAAATTATTAAAATAATTAAATTTCAATTTATATACATAGTTTCATTGCAGTGAAAAATGATTGGATGATCAGGATAAAATACTGTGGGTTAGGTAGAAAACAATATGATTTCAAAGAAAAATGATACCATGTAAGCATTGCGATGGTTATTAAAGAGAGCAGATGTTGTGATGAGCACTGGGAGTTATACTCAATAATGAATCGTTGAACACTATATCAAAAATGAATGATGTACTATATGCTGGCTAATTGAACATAATAAAAAAAGATGAACTAATTTATGTATTTTTTTAATGGATGGTGTTAGGTGTGAATTGCTATGGTATCTTTTTCCGATGGTTATACTTAAAGGAGAGGTATGAACTTTTTATTTCAAAATGATAATATTTTCAATTCTACAGAAATTACAGTTTGTGCAACTATTTAAAACTTATGATAAACTTAAAATGTGGCAAGATATTACACAGATTTTCAAGATTCTTTTAGGGAATAGACAGAATAAAGTTTGAAGATGCCTGTACTAGATAATACTTTGTTAGCTTAATTTGGTTTATGGTAAATATCTGACAGCAATAAAGCTGTATTTCTTTGAATTAGTCTATAGAATAGAAATTGATACATGGAAGAACTGATCAAGAAAACAAAAAGTTGTCATAGTTCTCTAAAGAGAGACAGTGAATTACCCAAGAGAAATGGACAGGAAGTCAAAGGGCACCATTGCCTAGCTGGTTGGTGGAGATCAAGACTTTAGGAATGTGAAAGTAAAAAATAACGCTACTGTCTTTCAGTCCTTATTAAAAATGCACATTTTACCATTTTTCTCATTTATAAGAAAGGTTCCTTATTATGGGCCTAAAGCTTCAGCTGGACTGTTGACCTCTGCTAGGTTACTGTGTCCCTGGGATGAGAGGAAATTTGTTGTGGTCCTTATAGTACATTATATTATTTCTCAATATTTGAGCCACATGTGCTGTCAGATTTCTGAAATGTCAAACCATTATTTCCCTATAAAGATGTCAAACAAGTTAGCCAATTATAAAATAGCTTATTCTCTAAGTTTTATTAAAAAGCTCTGAATCAAGATGTTTAAAGATCATTATTTGAGTTCAGGAAAATATTCTTATGCACTAACTCTCCTCCATCTCAAGGGATAGGAGAAATCACTACATCTTAACTTCTATTTCTGATTTCTTTAGTAAAAATGGGAAATTCAGACAGTCATTTTAAACACGTTGAAAATACTTCAATGTGGAGCTATGCTAAGAAAAGTTTCTTTAAACCTCCAATAACTGTCTGAATTGAGAATACCATTATACTTCCCTTTCAAAAAGATCTTCAGCTACAGAAAAGTCCATCTGTATATTTAATAATACACATAGATGAAGAAAGTAGCATGAGCTTAGGGCTTTTTTTTTTCCACTCAAAAAGTTAACATTAAGTTTTATTAATTAAAAAAATGGTCATAAAAATTTGTCATAATTCAGATACACCATACTTTATTCCTGTTGAGCAAAAAGTTCAAATAAATTTTATAATGAGCACTCTAAAGATATAGTGCCCATATTCTCAGTGAATCGTAATTTTAAAATAATTTAAAATCTTTGATTAATTAATTCAAACACAGTTCGGTTTGCCACTGGCTCTGTATTTTCAGTGTTCATAAGAAGAGGGACAGTACACTCATTTAACAGCAAGCTTTGATGTCACACTGCCTTATATCTGACTCCAGTTTTATTTCTTTTTACCTTACTGACTCATCTGTCAAGCCAGTCAGAGTCTCTGTCTCTCTGTCTCTCTCTCTGTCTCTCTCACAAGGGGAAGGGAGTGAGACTGGGTCTGATGTTACATGATGTAAAAGTACCATATGGTGGAACAAGTTTGAGATATAGTAGTGAAACAAAATTAAGTGGGCTCTTTCCTGCAGAACTTGTTAGAGCCTTAAGCTCCTTTGTGTTTCCCAGATATCTTTGATTAGGACAAAGGCCAACTCCTGGTAATGACTGACAGACCCTGGGTCCCAAATGCCACAAGTGGGGAATGATGGATATAAAGGCATCAGCAATGTGTTGTATGTGTGTTCTCTGGGCATCTTTGCACAGGAGTGGATGACCATGTGTACATATGCTCATGTTTCCCCCATCACTCTGATTCTGGGGTTCAAATGATACCTGTAAAAGTGGGATAAGACAGAAATCCAAAGGCCAGGATCTTCCCTCCACTGCTTGCCTGGCAGTGAGATAAAGACCGAAAGTGCCTTCACTGCTAAAGTCTGGATGCACAAGGCTTTCTTGGCATCAGACCTAACCTGGTGCCTGCCCATCCTGGGACCCAGGCTCTCAGGGCCTGTGCACTGTGCAGAAGGCCACAAGGATCACCTAGCCCAGAGGAATATGCTTCCATCTGCCAGCAGGGAAGGAAAGAGGGAGGGAAAGGCACCCCAGATTTACCCATCTGGAACATGGCAATAACAATAGTGCTAACCTTAAAGGACTGTTTTGAGGATTCTTTAAGACAATCCAGGGTGGCGTGTGATAAGCTATTATTATTATATTCAAAATACCCAAGAAGTAGATCCACATTTCTTTCTCCCTGATCCTGAATGAATAGAATTTAATGATAGATAAAGCTGACTTGAAAAGAAGGGAATAACTCTGCATTGCTGATTGGAATAAAATGCTATTTCAGAAGTTTCCCACTGAAAATTCAGAGTATAGATATTTACTGAGCAGCCTAGCTCAGATTGAATATTATATTAAAAGAATATTTATTCATTCTTTTTAGGACCCTATTATATTTGTTTTTTGTTTGTTTTTAAAGATTTTATTTATTTATTTGACAGATGGAGATTACAAGTAGGCAGAGAGGCAAGCAGAGAGAGAGGGGGGAAGCCGACTCACTGCTGAGCAGAGAGCCCGATGCGGGGCTCGATCCCAGGACCCTGAGATCATGACCTGAGCTGAAGGCAGAGGCTTAACCCACTGAGCCACCCAGGCGCCCCTTATTATATTTGTTAACTGAGTATTAAGTGACTGAAAGATGATAATGGTTTTCCCTAACCAGAACTGAACTTAGTTGACTACAAAAAGTACTCATAATAAATCATCCTTTGTTTCTTTCTCCCAGCCTTCTGTCCCTCTTCCCTGTGTCCCTGCCTCCAAATATAACCTTTAATTATAAAGGGAGTCAGGGTCAATATCATAAGCTATTAATTTATGGAGGTGATCTATAAGGATACAAAAGGCACACTGTTCAAGCCAAGCTCACTGGGTGGTCCTTTGGCAGTTCATCTTCAAAACTTAAGCCAACTTTTAAAAAGATCTTCCATAACAAACTGAAGAGAGACAGTGAATCAACTAAGGTAGGACAGAACAGAACAGACAGCCCAAGGGATGTATGCAAAAAAAAAAAAAAAAAAAAATGACACTGTAAAATTATAAATGGAAAAGGACAAATTATTGGCGTATTAACTCAGGACAAAATCCCTACCTGGTTGGTGGAGATCAAGACCTTAAAAATGAAAGTGTAAAAGACAGGGGGGAAACTTACAGACTTTCCTTTTTGAAACAGAAGTTGATTTCCAGCCAGCGTAAAATAACGAGTTTTCCACCTTTTGATGAACTTCCATCTGACTTGCTTCTCTTTAAGTTTTCCTTCTATGAGAGGCTGGCCATCTTGATTTACAACTGTTGAAGGTAAGAGAATGATCATTTATTTCCCATTATTTATTTGGCAAGTGATCAAAAGTCAGAGTTGTACAATGAACCAGAACCCAGTAAGCGTATTTGGAAAGTACGCTAATAAATTATGAATTTGGTTAACCTTTCCCCTTTTTCCCTAAAGGAATGCACAATTTAGATATGACAATGGGATCCTGTAGAAAACCCTCATTGAGATTTTCAAAAGGAATATGTTCACAAAAAGAGCATCTGGTTAGCAGTTTTTAAGGCATATTCCAATATCCAGCTTTCTGTGCTTCTTAACTCTTATTTCATGAAATTCTGTTCACATGAACTGCTTAGAAGCACGCTTTATAACTAATCACAAACCAAGTACATTTAGCTATTGGGCAGCCAAAGCCCAAGCAGTGTCTCCAAAGATGTGTTTTTCCTGAAGACACAAAGTTGCAAGGGCAAATATAACTCTTCTGAACACAGTATTTCCACTCTGGAACACATATACACCCTCTCCTTTCTGCATATGTCCATCTCTGCCCAATCAACAACTAATCATTCCATGAGTCAACTCAAATGTTGCTTCTTTGTGGGAGAACTTCCCCAAACTCAGGCCAGAGTGGATTCACCTGCCGTATGTTCTCACAGCCTCTGGCCTGTTTCTTTTACATCAAGCATCATTGGTAGACTGTTCTTGGTGTTTATCTGATTCAGGTTTGTCTTTCCCATTGAACCGAAAGCTCCATGAGGGCCTTTGCTTTGTTCACTGATATATCACCAGGGCATTAATATGGTACCTGGCAAATACAGGGAATCTGTAAGTATTTTTTATGTGAAAAGGTTAATTTTACAGTGAAGTAGAGTGTATAGAATTGCACATAATCATAGAATTAGAAGATCTGTTACAATGTCAAGAGTCAGAAGTTACAATGTTGAACTGAAGAATTTCATTCATTTTGTCAATTACATAAGATTCACTCTCCAGGATGTGGACAAAGGGAAACCTCTTACACTGTTGGTGGGAATGCAAGTTGGTGCAGCCACTTTGGAAAACAGTGTGGAGATTCCTTAAGAAATTAAAAATAGAGCTACCCTATGGCCCTGCAATTGCACTACTGGGTATATACCCCAGAGATACAGATGTAGTGAAAGAAGGGCCATCTGTACCCCAATGTTCATAGCAGCAATGGCCACAGTCGCCAAACTGTCAAAGGGCCAATATGCCCTTCAACAGATGAATGGATAAAGAAGATATGGTCCATATATACAATGGAGTATTATGCCTCCATCAGAAAGGATGAATTCCCAACTTTTGTATCAACATGGACGGGACTGGAGGAGATTATGCTGAGTGAAATAAGTCAGGCAGAGAGGGTAAATTACCATATGGTTTCACTTACTTGTGGAACATAAGGAATAACACGGAGGACATTAAGAGAAAGAAAAGAAAAAGTGAATTGGGGGAAATCAGAGGGGGTGACAAAACGTGAGAGACTGGATTCTGAGAAACAAACAGGGTTTTGGGTGGGGTGGGGTGGGGGAAGTTGGGTGAGCCTGGTGGTGGTTATTGAGGAGGGCATGTATTGCATGGAGCACTGGGTGTGGTGTATAAACAATGAATCTTGGAACACTGAAAAAATAAAATAAAATAAAATAAAATAAAATAAAATAAAAGATTCACTCTCTAAATATATAAGTAAGCATCTGATTTCTAGGGATTATGATGATATATACTTACATATATTATGTTTAATTTTCATAGTAATAAAATGTGTTTCATCATTTGGAAATTTAGACAATGCCTATTTGACCATATAAACACAACCTATTCTCTCTAACCTACCATTTCTCTTTTCTAATGTAGATCTCATAACTACTTTAGACAAGGAGGATTTATCCACCTTGACAGGATTTTCAGGATAAGAATGATGAAATGTATGAAATGTATAGTTTTCACAAAGTTCTACTAAGGCAAGTTTGACATTCCCCACCCCATTTGATGACTATTCAATCAGATATTCTTTTGTCAATCCCAAATTAAAGCTAAAATTGAAAATACTATCAAATAAATTATTAGATAGTGATAGGACTATGATGAAAATAAAGTAGGGAGTGACCTGAGGATTAGTGCACACTCACATAGGTGGTCAGGAAAGAGCCTGGACATTTGAAAGGATCTTCAATCTGAGACTTTAGCATTGAGAAGTGTCTCCCATCTTATAAGAAGCTTCATGGTGACCTGTATTGTGCATAGCAGAGTATAGGGAAACCAGGAATTCAAGAATTATTGACTATCAATTTCAAAAAAATGATTTCAGGGGTGCCTGGGTGGCTCAGTCAGTTAGGTGTCTACCTTTAGCTCTCAGGTCATGATCCCAGGGTCCCAGGATCAAGTCCTGCATCAGGCTCCCTTCTCAGTGGGAAGTATGCTTTTCCCTCTGCCTTTCACCCTGCTGGTGCTCTCTCTCTCTCAAATAAATAAATAAAATCTTAAAAAAAAAAAAGAAAAGAAAACTATTTCTGCTTTGCTTTACTTAGGAATCATCTGATTTAAAGTATTAAAGACGATATGCTCTTTGCAAATTTAATTGTCCCATAAACATGGTGCTTGCTTCCTTTGTGCGGTCTCTACACTCTGCAGTTACCTTGGATAAAGCATTTAGGACAGATGCTCTGTCTTTCTTGTGCTGTATGTCCTAGAGAGCCAGATCAGCCTTACAGTGTTGGCCTGGACCATGGGTTCAGTGTTTACTAACAGTATGCTCTTGAGTCATGAAGGGGACAACAGTCTGTCTCAGAGGAGGAACAGAAGGTCCAAAGGTAGATCCAAGATAAAAAGAAAGCAAACTCTAAACAAACAAACAATGAAAGACCCAGGCTGAGACTTACATTAAAATCTTTCCTAAAACATCAATTTCCTATGCTTTTAAATGAGAAAAAATTGCTAATCTCATTATGATGGTCAAGGATTTTTTAATAAGAATTCTGTAGAGTTATACTTGAATTCTTTCAACTACAGTTTTCTGATCAGCAAGATCCCAACTCTTCACAAAGATGATGAGATCAAAAGTCAAAATTAAGAAACTTATGTGAGTACACCAGGTAAGTAAGCACTATGGACCCCTCCATACTCCTCTTTTATTAGACTTTACTTCATAGTTTGTAATCACATTGCTTCCTCGCCATGGTTTTAATGGTAAGATGATTTAATGTAATGGCTTCATAACAGTACCTTTCTCTAGTTTCAATCTTCTATAGTTATTCAAAGAAGCATTAGAAATAGTCATGATGCCTGAGCTGACTAGAAATCGTGGTTGATTTAGATAATATTTATGCTCATGGAACCTTCTGGATCTGACATAGGGTATTAGCTTCAAATATTTCTCCTCAAGGCAGATCCAAACGTTGCACTTGGGTGCCTGGGTGGCTCAGTTGATTAAGCATCCGACTTGATTTCAGCTCAGGTCAAGATCTCAGGGTCGTGAGATCCAGCCCCACATTGGGGCTGCATGCACTGAGTGTGGAGCCTGCTTAAGAGTCTCTTTCTCTCCCCTTCCCTCTGCCTCTCCCCCACTTGCCCACATGTTCACTTGCTCTCTCTCTTTCTCTTAAAAAAAAAAAAAAAAAAAAAAAAAAGACTTTACAAGTGTTGTACCCGAAGAGTATGTGACAGAAGTTTGCAAGGAGCACTTGGGAAAATAATTGAAGGAATTGCTTGAAGACACAGAGTGGATAGGATATCATACCCACAGACCTACATAATGACTATGTGACCATAATGACCATGACAGACTCAAGACAAAATGATAGGCTTACTGGAGCACAAAAGGATGAAGGACTGTAGAGAAATGCTGCTAAACAGAGGCTTTTCACTGTAGGGCCCCGCCAAAATTACCCCGGGGGAAAAGTCCATGGAAAGGCTTGTAGGAAGGGAATGTTAGCAGAACTTTTTTTTTTTTTTATTTTATTTTTTATAAACATATAATATATTTTTATCCCCAGGGGTACAGGTCTGTGAATCGCCAGGTTTACACACTTCACAGCACTCACCATAGCACGTACCCTCCCCAATGTCCATAATCCCAACCCCCTCTCCCAACCCCCCTCCCCCCATCAACCCTCAGTTTGTTTTGTGAGATTAAGAGTCACTTATGGTTTGTCTCCTAGCAGAACTTTAAAGAAGCTGCCTGTGAGGGCCCAATTTAGGCATCAGAGTCAGCTTCAGATAATTTTATAAATACCAAGCTATTTGTAGCTTTAGGATTAATTCAAAAATAGTTTCAAAAGGCAAAAAATAAAAAGAGTTAAAATTTTTTCACTTACTATCCCATGTCTTAATTTTTTTTTCAATTATATCTAACATAGGCACAAGATGCCATGTGTCATTTTTATAGGTCTATTGCCCATATCATGTCCTTGTAAGCAATAATTCTCATGAAACACTGTCTTCATGATCAAAACAGGGAACCAATTCTTTCTAGGGATGATCATATTCTATTTCAAAAATAACACATGGAACGAGACTGTGAGAATGATCATGTGTCTGAAACTATCTTGTTCGCACATAACACATGCAGGATAAATAAATATTTTCTCTCTTGCCAATTAATTCATTAGTTCATTTAAAGTGCAACAATTTGACTAAGTATTCTCTACCAACCTGGATCTGTTCTTCTTTTTGTCAGTTGGCTGAAAAGCTATGGAATACTAAACTGAATTACTTTGAGCAATCAGAGCCCAAACTGTTAACTGTGTTTATCAACTTAAAAGTCTTTCTGAGTGTCAACACAGATGTGTATACATTAATTGTATTTCTTTTGTGTAGCAAGAGTTGAAGATATTTATGCTGCTAAAAATGAATTTTGAAGGTATTGGTTTTACTCAGCATGAAGGTGGTGAGTCAGAGCAAAGTAATACCAGAGACCTTAAGCCTAAGGAGCCCCATGGCAAGAAGAGCAAAGCAATAAAGAATAGTCCTCTGTTCATCCTTCAACCACCCAGCCATCCCACCG